TTTCCGAATTTCCATTCAGAAACATCTCGCTCTTCCTGCTCGTCAAAAATCATCCCCTAAATGGTCCCTACATCGCAGGAAGACATCGGCAAATCAAACGGTTGTAACTCCCTCCGCCTAATTCCACATCCAATACCGAGGATGGTAACAAAGTTTCGCCAAAAGTCGTCTTCTAATCGCCGTAGAACACGTTTCCTCGCCGAGGGAGAGACGTCTAACGTACGACCCCGGCGAACAGAGAAGGAAGGACAGAGGAGATTTGAATCTTGACAACGAGCAAGGTTTCCCATCGAAACGTAACTATTTGATTTTCAACCCCATCGTCCCTTTGACGCGCTGGCCGGCCGGCACACGGAGATGGCGATGAATGATCGACTTCGGGACGTCGTTTTATCGAGTTACGCAACGCCGCGAAAGGCAGTCGAGCAAGTTCTTTGTCTATCGGGCCATCTGTCACCCCGAAGAGAGAAGAGAGTCGACGTCGTCTCTCGTCGAGAGGGTGTGGAGACAGCGTGGGCGTTACACGTTACGACGACCTACTTGTGTTTGTAAATGCCTGGCCTCCTCTCTGCCACCGTCTGAGCAGACGGTCTGATGCACGCGTCTATTTCCTACGTGCGCGTCAATACGATGAGTTACGATTGCGATAAAAGAGAGATAGCACGCGACAAGTATAGAGAAGCGGACCTCCGGGAGGATACGTGTGTGTATCGGGTATTGATTTTTCTCGTACGGAGTTACGCCAACGGGGTAAGCCGAGACGCGACAAAGTTTATTAATCCTGCTGGGGGCAGCAGGCGCGTCTGCGTAGCCTCGGTTACGGCGAAACGCGGGTTTCACGGGGATACGAAATTTTTCATGCGGATTCGCCACGCTGCGATTCCGCCGTTTCGTGATTCTCTAAGCTCGCAGGGGGCGGATGTCGCCACTTTTCGACTGGCGATCTTCGCACCGTTGCGGAAGGATCCTGAAAGGGAAATAGGTGCCGATGTGGCTCGTGCGAATCTCTTGGCTACTTGACGAAGTGCAATTAAACTTCCTAAGGTGGAAAATTATACATCGCGATTGAGAAAATTTTGAAGAGTAGCGTCTTTACTGTGGAGAAAGATGGTACAGAAAATTTCCTACGTATTAATCACTGAGAAAGTTTGGAGGAGTAAAGTGTCTTTACTGTGGAGAACGATAGTAGGTATAGTCGGTGGAAGAAATATAGCGAAATGGTAAATAAAAGCAATAAATGTGGTACTTGTCGTTTTTCAATTGGGACCCAAAATTAACACTTCACGAAGCCCTATTCTCTCTGTTATCTGTCGATTTGTCCCTCCATTCGCTTGGGACGAAAGCGTCGCCACTTTTGGACTCGCGATCTTCACAGTAAAATTCCACATTAGAAGTAAAACAAGTGCTGAATCTTTTGTAAATCTTGACGCCTGACCTCGCTATATTTCTTCCATCGACTATACTATGAAGGAAAATTTTCTATGTTTAGATAGGGTTAGGTACACAAATACTTAACATTGTGTTACAATTGGCTAGAGTATTCAGTGCAGTAACGTGTACAGGTTAGTAGCCTAAGAGCAACAGACTACAGCATGCAGCTTAGGTTGTATAGTAGGCTATATTCAAGTTTGCGTAAGTAAGTAAGTACAGTCTATGACGTTCGCATTTCGACGCATTTCTCAGAACGTATCTTCGTCGTTAAGCGACGCATGACTGTGTAATAAAGATATTACGAGAAGTATTATACCTTGGTATATTCATCTTTTTTTTTTCGAATAGGTAACCGAAAACCTTACGTTAATATTGCTCAATTCACACGGTGCATTGTAAGTTACTAAAAAATTTCCAAATTTATATTTTTCAATCGCTCGAAATGAGGTAAATTGCTGTTGATCTCCGCAAGGTCACAATTAATATCGATATAAATTGGCCCCTAACTTTGATCGATCCCTAAATGAATCCCTAACTTTTGGCCGATAGTGCATTTCTTGTCCAGACTGTAACAACTGTAAAACTACACATCAGTGTAACGAAAAAAATTATAGTCAGGGCCACGATATAGCGAGGTCGTAAAATCGGTCAGACGTCAAAGTAAACATGTTTTAGCTGCCGGGACCCGAAAATTGACAGAGATACGAGCAGATAAGTACTTGAAACCATTGTCAGGACCGTACGAAGAATTCTTGTATCCAGCGAAAGTCAACTGATTCTAATATATTTACTGAAAACTGCATGCAGCTAGGACAAATTAGGGTTTCTCCCTCTGGGGGAAGCCGCTTTTGGAAGTACGGTTACAGGTAAAGGTCTTATCGATGTCTTTAGCATCTTAGTTTATCTACTCGTGTTACATACAAATAGAAAGTGCAAAAAGATTGTGTAGCTTAATATTAACATATTTTCCATTTATAAATGAAATACCATTTTCTACTTGAAGTACCAAATCATATGCTACCATTCGTTTATTGTTGGAACCCTCAAACAGACTGCAACACACGGCCTTGAGTGCCGCAACATCAATCGGTGCCGATTCTTGAGAGTTTAATTTACGACCTCGCTATATCGTGGCCCCAACTATACATTTCTGCACCCGTAAAGAAAAAAAAAAAATTAGTTCGATTGTTTATCACCGCGTACAAAGATCTCGAAACGCTTCGCGTTATCTTCTGATCGTCCAACGACGTAACTTAACCGTTTCAATCGCACCAATCATCTCCCCCGATCGCTCTAAATCCTTCTGTATCGCGGTCGGGAGCGTCGTTAATTCGCTTAGGTGGAAGTTTCGCGTTGACTGCGGGTGCTGTATAAATTGGTCAACCGAAAGGCGCGGGAACGGAGGAAAGGAACGCGGCAGAACGAACGGGGAACATCTAATACATCATAAACTTGGGAACAAAGAGGAGAGAGGATGTCGTGGCAGCGCCGGAGAATCCGCCGGTCCCGGTATCCTCGGGCAAAACTTTGCCTATTTGTTAAGTCTTGCCCGCCGAAACTGTCTCAGATACTGGCATCGAACTATGCCTCACACCTATGACCTCCTTAGTCTCGTCCTTCTTCCTTCCTAACCCTCGCCCACCGACGCGTTGTCTCGGTGCATCCTTCGTCGGAACCGCTGAATGGGGGGCCAAAAAGACGCATTCTGATTCGCGAAATTTCGCTGTTTCACGGCGAAATTGATGACACTCGAGAATTTCGCAGTGCAAGCGAAGGAGATTGAAGTGAAACGTTTAGTCATTGTAGTCGTTTCGCGACATTTTTCGAGAGCTTCAAGTTGATCATATTTTGGAAAACTGTGAAACGGATTTTTTGAAAGTGAGAATAAGATGAAACGATCGAGGCGTTGATCGAACTTTCAACGTGTGTAGCTTCCGTGAAAATATAATACTTATTAAGAGAAGCACGATCAATTAGGTTATTTTATTATTTACGATTGGGACAATATAAATTTTTCTACAACTAAGAAGTGATCGGTGGAATTTGATCTTGATCTACGGCTAACTTTCGTACACAATCTGCCATTTAGCAGTAAAATAATTGAAACTGAATTCTGAAATTAGTCAACAACCTAATAAGTTATTCTTCTGATCCAGATGAAATTACTTCGACCAAGACAATACGAAAAATGTGTGAGAACGATTTATTACACAACCCTTCGTGCCATGAACTAAACACTGCCACTCATAAATATTAGGACACCCGTTATATTTGTACAGAACTGTCGCACGATTTAAATGAGACTTCTTCGCGAAAAAGTAAATACATAGATATACTACACGTTATACAACGAAATTCCATACAGAACTTTTGTTAGGATCTGAATAATTTTGCAACGACACGTTAGGTTCACTTCAAATTCAGCAAGTGTCCCAATATTTACAAACAGGAGTGTAATTTAAAAATACAGCGCACTTAAAAACTATCTCAGTGTTGTAGGTACCTGAACATTCGTACAAGTGCTTGTAACCTGCCTAATATCTCAACGAAATCTCGTTACAAGCTTCGTCAGTTTAATACTTTCCACTGCCTTCCTACCGTGTCTCCACGCCTACATAAGCGCCGCACACTCGCGCACACCTTTGCTAATTTTAAATTGCCTTTTCACTAACACGGCAATTTAATTCGCAAAGACACGAACTTGAAGACACAACGGCGACATGTCACGCTCGACGGTGCCGATGTAAATCAGCAGAAAGGTGGTGCGAGCATTTCTCACCGGTAATACCCATCGGAAACTAAATCCGTGCCGGGTCGGGAATTCGAAATTAAAAAGTTTGAGCGTCCAGGCTGGTCATCTGCATCTAAATTTTTCTCTAGCGCAAGTTCCGCTGGACGCGCGGCCGTTTCAAAAGGTTTTTACCCGCGCCCAGAGGGAATCTCGAAAATAGAAAAAAAAACACACACACACACGGGCGAAAAAAACAAAAAAGGCTGATAAAAATTTTTTGTTAGTCGTGCCGTGATGTATGCGTGATCAGAATTCGCGAAGTTTTGCGCATCTGGTTCGAGGCGAAAGTTCGAGTGCGACACCCGCACATGACATCGCTGTGTCGGAGTGTGTATCGAGGGGCGGGATGGTGAGCTTCGGGGGGGAGTAGGAGGAGGAGGAGGAGGAGGGGGCAGGGATGGTTTCATTGTGACGACAATATCGCCTTGGGCGGCATTGGCGAAGCAGAGATGCAAATTTCGTGGAGGACGGCTCTGTTCTCTCTGCGCTCTCATCTCCCGGACGACGAATTTGGTAATATCGCAAGGGATTCGAACGGTACTCGATTATTCAAGACCTATGCCCGTTGAAACAACGCGACGACACCTTTTCTCCCGTCTTAAGACGAACAGCTATCTTTCGTCGTACCCGCGACTCGCTCAAACTGAAACGGTATCCTTCCACTCTTAACTTGGATTTTCTCATATATCACTCGATTTTACAAGACCGTTCCATCGAGTTCGCCGAGAATAATTTCATATTTCAGAGGAACCTCATATTCGTGTTTCGTCTGTTGCAGGGGACAGCATCTTCCACATCGCCACGGCAACGTTCATCGTAAGTACCAATTCTCTCGAAAGCTTAATCACTCTACGGAGTGTGAACACCCTTCGACCCTTTCTCTAAACGTCACTTCCCCCTCAAAGTAAATCCCGAAGATGGCACGATAGTATATATAAAGCGCGATAAAAAAAAAAAAAGAAAAACAGCAAGAGGAGACGCGGGGGGTAACGGTTGACCCAACGAAACTCACCGCGACTAAACGATCGGTTGTTCTCGCACCGCGGTCGATTTCGCAACGTTCTACGCCAATGCGTGCATACACGAGTGCAGGGAGCAACGGGTTGACGGTGGGAAGGGGTTGACAATGCAGCTGCGGCGGGGTGGCAGCTTCGTAGTCGTCGTCGTGGTAGTCTCGTCACCGTCGTCGTCGTCGTCGTCGCCGTCGTGCAATGTCAGTGGCGATAGCACTGTGGCAGCGCGAAGTAGGAAGAAGGGCGGTTAGACATGCGGGGGAGGGTTTGTCGGACAGACGAGAAGTAGGGAGAGGTGGAGGAGATAGGAAGAGTAGGGAGGAACTGGTAAACGGAGATGGAGACGCTCTAAGGTATATAATCATGCTTGCTGATTCCTTCCCTAATAAAAGTCTCACTGTCAGCCCATCCCCAACGGGTCGGTAACTCACCCCATCGTTCTTCACCTTCCCTCTCCCCTTCTCCGACCGTTCGTTCCCCGTCCCTCTAACGTGGAGACGTACCTCTTCTTCCGTGGCCTGTCTGACTTCTTCTCTCTCTTGCTCCCGTGCTCGCCAAGTCGGCACACACGCGCCGCGTAGACAAAAGTGCATGTGTGCCTACGAGCGTAGTGAACCGGGTCCGCGAGATGCACCCTTGCGCGCGGCGGAGTCCCGTGACAGAGATCGGGGTGAGCCCGCTGTGTAAGAAGACAAAAGTAGCGGAGCATACACACGGCGGGAAGGGGGCAGCAACGTGTATTACACGAGATACGGGTCAGAAATGCTTGCCGTAGCAGCATCTGATGTAGCAATTTTTTTCATCTCTCGATATCCACTCGCAGATTACGCGTACATACATACGTGTGTGTACGTAGAGTCGAGCGTCTCGTACGATCTCCTCTGCTTCGACTTCCGTTCGTTTCTGTTGCCTCTACAGGCCGATACACGATCAGGACTTACGAAGATGAACACTCGGTGCATCGATTAGAGAGCGCAACCGACGATCCCTTCGAGATCTCTATCAAGAACGATTTGTGAATTAATTTGGCTTTGTCGGTAGACCATTCACGATACGTTAATCTTCGCGGTAAATAGCACATGCACGCCACTTTCCCCCTAGCTAACTCACACTAACTCGCTCGCATTAACTCCTTCTATCTCTCCCTCCCTCTCTCTCTCTCTCTCTCTGTTTCTATCCGCGTAACGTTAATAGATATTCAGATCATTTGCCGTGTTACAATTAACCGCGTTGTTTACATGCGATGTTAACCGCGATGTAATACATCGGTGGCTCACACTTTTTCACCTTCCGATAATAAGGTTTCTAATAAAGGTTTCATTGGAATATTCACTGCGCGTTGAACTTCGATACGGCGTCGTTATGCATTGCTTATCACCTCTGACTGCTTGATGAAATTATCGTAAATAATTCACGCGACAATTTCGACAAATACATCGCGCGATATTTAACAATTTAACATAGCAAAAGCGATTGCAATTAATTATCAGCACTCAAAGGATAATAAGGAATAAAATATGTACTCTTCGCCTAGAGTCGATTCAACGAGAAACAGCCATCGACGAATAGAACCCTCGCTTCCAATCAGAAACTGAAAAAAAACACACCAGACCCACCGAGTCCATTCAACCCGATACAAACCAAACAGAAAGAGAGAGAAAGAGAGAGAGAGAAAGATCTCCGTAGGGAAACACGATCCAAATCGACGGAACACAAGAACGTGGTACACGTAAGCATATCAAAAAATAAAGAGAGAGCCGGACCATTGAATAGTGCGGTTACCCTCGAGGTTGTTAAGGTGAGCCGGCCAAGGGTAAAAGGTATAGGTCTTGGTGTCTTCGTTTCAGGGTCGATCTTTAAAGGGCCGAGCGTTCGAGGGTCCTTGGCCCAGACAGGTCTCAAGGTGCATGTCTCTGGTGAATTTAAAAGGCCGTCAAGGTGGTCGTGCGTACGAAACGGACCAGATGGCTCGACTTACCCCATCTTTCTCGTTATTGCTTCCTCCACCCACGTGTCTAGGCGCTCGAGTGTCGGTCTCTCGACGTGAAAATGGATTTTCCTTCACCTTCCCTCACTCTCTGTCTATCTGCTACCGTTACCTCTACGGGAACGAACCGTTTCCCTCCTCCGGCACGCGTTAATAACGTATCTTGATGCGACCGAGAGAAACTCCGAGGTTCGACATATGTTCCGAAGTCATTGTGTGGCGCACGGGAAAAAAAATATACGATACAGTTGTGCGTTGGCTGCTCTCGATCGTGAACGTTTTCTGATGCCGGCTCGTTTTTGATGCTGTTAAGCTCCCGTTAGAGAGAGGCAGCCTCGAAAATTGGGGCCGGATATCGTGGAGAGGGCCGGCCAATCTGTCGCGAACAACCGAAGAATTGGAAGGCTCGCGAGGGTGGAGGAGAAGATAGAGAAACACTTCTATGGAGGCCACTTTAGTCGACGACCCGTTGCGGCCGCATGATTCTGCATTCGGTTTTAACAAGCACGTGCGGGGCTCGCGTCGAAAGTGTAACGGAGTTTGGCGTCGAGAGGCGAGAAACGATGTCTGGATAGGTTTCTCGAGGAACTCGCAGATGTTCTACGAGAGGAGTTGTCTGGCGAGACGATAGTATTGGAAGAACGTGGAAGAATTGATTTGGACGCGGAATGATGAATCAGGTTTTAGGTGAATGAGAGGAAACTTTGTTGGTTTATTGTTGAGCGCACGATTAGGGTACGTGGAAAGGGAGGGAAGTAGGAATTGTGTCGGTTGTTAGGTGAAATGATGCAGGCGTAATTTGGATTTTTAGAGAATACGCGGCACTTGATGAGTTCGACGTAAAAATCTTTCTTAATATAGGCAACAAATGAACCGGTTTAAAAAGGAATTATTCCGTTTCTCCAAATATTTTGGCTTTTTTATCAAGTAAATTTCACACTTGACATTTTTCAACCAGTAACTAAATTATTAAAATAATTATCGAAATCAAAAATTGCTTTCTGAAAAATTCCTGAGTCTAAATGAGACAAAGTGAAGTAGAAAAAAATATATAAAACCAGCAACACACGTACATACAGATTTTGAAGAAACTATTATCGTACGAACGTGAATGCGGCTAAAAGACGAGAATAACAAATTGGTAGAGTTGACCAGCTGAAAAGGGGGCCTGAATTTCCCCGCAGAATCCGGACATAGTTTGGCAAACTTTCCAGGTGTATCAGAGTTGGAAAAAGACAAGCTAGGCACGCGTTCAGTCCGTGAGGAAAAGCGTAGGTATATACACCGCGCAGACAAAAGGTTTTACGGCCACGACATTATGTTTACCACACGAAACGCCCCCGCAACGCCTTGGCCGGAAGTCTCGTGCTGAGAATTAGTGGGACGGATTTACGAGCGACGACAAATCGGCCTGTAGTTCTTCTCTTCTAACCAAGTCGTACAAAACAGCCGAGCCTTTCTCGTTACTGACCACTTTCGAACAGTTTAAGATACCTTTAGCCACTTTACAGGAACACGTCGCACAATGAGCCGTCTCACTTTGCACCAAGCCTTTGTACATTTTATAGCCGCCGCCATAATTAGCTCGGATCCTGTTCCCAGTCGAAGGAAACGACCAGTGGGGTCATAAACACCAAGTTTTCCTTAAATCCTCCGCCCTTTTGTAGCGACGTTAATAAAGCAATAGGCGAACGTTCAATTTGAGAAGCACAATGAAATTCTCTAGATTCTCGTACTTCCTGGTAGAAAGTTTAATTTCTCGAGACTCTCAAATATTAAAAATTCGAGGCTTTCATGGCAAGTGACTTACAATCCTTACAAAAAGTCGAAACACATCTTCCACAAGAACATCAAAAGTTCTAATCAATTCCCCCGAGGAACTCGAACAGTTTCGTCTCTCCAACATAAAATATTGCACCGTTCTCCCCGCCGAGGGTAGCATACCACACGGCGAGGATCCTAATAGTCGAACAAATCGATCGAAGGTTCGTCACCTTAATAATCTCTTTCTTTTTTCTCGCTGGTCGTCCCTCGATTATAGCGTTGCAGGCAGCACGTGAGGGAGCAGCCGGGCGTCTGGCCAGACGGAATTTCAATGGAGCACGCTGCAAGGCACCCCACGGTAGTTCCGTCCTCTAATGTGGAAGTAGCTCGTGCTACCTGAGCAGCTGCGCGTGTGTGCGAGAAAAAGGGGGCCCCCTTGACAGGAGTTTTATTTTATTTTGCCTTACCTTATGGGCCACCGCCGATCGAGGGGAGAACGACGACAGCGACACGGCCAGAGAAAGAGGGAGGGCCAGAGTGAGACGAAGAGAAAGGAAGGAGGCCCCATGGGTAGAGACGCCGCCAGGTACCCGCTGTGGGCCCAACGTCACGCTTGAGAGGGGGGCCATCTGCCCCCTAACGAGTGTGTGACGTCAGGTGTGACGACGTGTGCTACGAGTAAGAAGTGTCTTCTGCTTCCCTAACTCGCCTACCCTCCCCATTTTTCTCCCCACCTCTTCGCCCCTCTGCACGCCGCTTCGCGAGCAGAAAAATGCCGTTGGTGGCCCGTTCTCACTCGATTTTTATTTCCCAATAGCCACACGAAGCGCGGAAGCGTCGACCAGGGGCAATTCATCGAATCGAGACCGCCTGTGCGTTTCCGCGGCATCCATTTGCCGCGATTGTGCTCGCCGCAAAAATTGTCTCTTTCAATTTGGCCGATGTCGCCGACCGTATAAAATATGAAGTTCAAAGTTCCACGGGGTTAATTGTATTGGCGTCTGAAGGGTCGCCTTTTCAATTCGCGAAATTAATTTGCCGAGCAGCCAACG